CCCCCCCCGTCTTTATCTTCTTTCACATTTTTATACATCAGCTTCCTTGTTCCTTGACCAATCATGTGATTCAGCATACAGGAATGTTCCAAGGCTGGCAGTTCTGACAGCCCAGTGTGGAGCACTGAGCCATCAAAGGTTTCAGCTGGCACCGCTGAGTGTCACATATTAGTCTTAAATGATGTGAAAACTGTGAAAGCCCTGCCATCATTAGAATTCTTTAGGGAGGAGAAACGGATAGAGGGATAGAGGGATAGAGGGGAGGGTGGTGAATAATAGCGAAAAGTGAGAGGGCTCAGAGGAGGGGAATGAAGTGAGAGATGGAGAGATATGAGAAAGAGTTGTGGGGGGAAAGGGACACGGAGTGAAAGAGAGCGAGCCACTGTTATGGTAGACAGCATTAACATTCAGCTGATGTGCCATGCACCCCACATTGGATTTTTCTCGTTTTTTTTAACACTGCTCTAAACTCTGTTTATGACCACTTTTTCTGTTTCTTTGTTTTTTTGACATATGAGTGGGGTTCAGAGGGAGCAGTGATGAATTTATGACTATCAGAGAAAGCGCAGGAGATATTTAGGATATTACACCCTCATCGTGGCGAAATTAGTACCCGTCTAATTTGTAAATTATTCTGCTCAGTGCCACTCAACTAAATGTTTCATGATTCTTGCCCTCATAAACACAACACAGCCGACCTTTAAACTTACGATTCCTGTCATTGGCAGTCCCACAGTTGTGCTGAAATAAGCTCTGCATAGTGGATTTGACAACCTGTGAATGTGTGAAAACAATAATGAGTTTAAAGGGCCTGCACAGCTCCACTTGCTACTTCTATCAGTCCTTCTCTGGTTTGTATTTATCTGAGAAGACAGGTACAGATGTTTTATGCCTGCAGTCACATTTCCCTCATGCTGAACTTTGAGAAACAGGTCTAAAATAACCCAGAGACCATGTGTCTGTTCTTCTCTTACCCCTCCCCGACCGTTTCTTTTTCTTTGGTGACTGACAGCGGAGGACACATGCGGTGGCACCCTGAGGGGCTCCAGCGGGCTCATCTCCAGCTTCGATTTCCCCAGTGGTGAGTCCCCCAGCGCTGGCGGAAGCGGAGGTGCTGGGGGCCTGGGCAGCAGCGGGGAGTGCAAGTGGACCATCCTGGCAGATCCGGGAGACACTATTTCTCTAGTGTTTACTGAATTTCAAATGGAGGAGAAGTCAGATTATCTGGAAATCGAGGGATCTGAACTGCCGACCATCTGGTGAGTTGACCTGCGTGGAGGAATGAGGGTGGGAAGTGCTGGTATTTCATCAAATGAGCATTTAGTTTTTTTATATTAAGAGTCGCACCATGACAGGTGGTGTGTACAGTATGTTTGGTGTTGACAAAGTGTGTCTGTGATTTGTGAGAGACAAGATTGTGTTAGTAGCATTGGATGTTGGGTTTCCACAAGTTTTAAGGTGTGTAATATATTTTCTAGAGCACGTTATCTTTCTGCAAAGAAGAAACAGGCTTTAGTATTAGAGTGAAACTGTAAAATCATGGCACATTTATTACTTTTATCCTTATTCATTTGGGCTGCTAGTACAAAGTCAGGTTTTATTGACACGAAACTTAACCAAGTAATAAAACATTTTTTATTTCTGTAGAATAATATCACATTTAGTCTTTTAGTAGACTTTACAGGTCCACAGCTGCAGTTACAAACCCAGGCATATTGTCTAAGGCAAAAACTCCCCAAAAATGGGCAAAGAAATACTGAGAGGTCCAGTAAATGTTTAGGTTTTGAAGGGGCAATTATAAAAATGAACAGAAAAGTAGTGCACCTGCATTTTAAACTAAAACAAGTCAGTGTGCTGGTCATTTTTCCCAGTCAGAGTTTTACTTTTTAAAGTTTTTTGTTAAACCAGAAACAGACACGAGTACAGTCAACAGTAGCTGTGTATAATAGTTACACACACACACACACACACACAAACCAAAAATACATAAATTAAGTAGGCTGTAGCAGTGTATGACATATAACCAAAACTTCATCACCAGTGAAGCCTAAAGCATCAATAAAAGTCATTGTCTAATGGGAAACACGGGTAATAATACTCAAGCAAAACATTTGCAGCCTGAAATAATGACATCCAAGTCATTTAAATTCATTTAGTGACACCAGCTCCTTAAGTTTCAGTTGAGTTTGCAGCTGATTCCGCAAGGAAGGAATTTGAATACTCTTTTTCTGAATTCAGCGCAAGTGCGTGTCAGTAAGTAAAATGGGAGCAGACCAAGAATAGTTTTAAATCAAAGGATATACCAGTGGTAAGTGTTCCCTTTAACTTATAAGCTCATAAGCTTGTGTAAGCAGTGGCTGCTAAAATTCATCCACTGGCCTTAGCCCACACAAGCATTTTAAATACAAAATGGTTGTGCTGTGCTGTCGTACCGTCTGTGTGTGTGTGTGTGTGTGTGTCTGAGGACCAGACGAGCCACATCACATAGCTCTGACAGTGACATGCAGAGGTGGGAGTGTGATGATATGGGGCTGCACAAGTATAAAAGGTGTTGGGGAGATGGCATTGATAGATGGCGCCATGAATGCTTGTGGATATAGCAAAATACTAGCTGACATGATGACTCCCAGTCTCCAGAAGACTGGCAGAAAAGGAATATTCCAGCATGATAATGATCCAAGCACACTGCCAACATCATACTAAACTTCTCTTTTTTAATATATTTTTGGGGGCTTTTAGCCTTTATTGAAATAGGATAACAGAGCCAAGGCAGGAGAGCTGAGAGAGAGGCCAGGGGAAGGCACACATTAAATGCCCTTGGGGGAGATTCAAATCCAGCCTCTGCATTACCCTTATAGATTGCCTGCTCAATCCAAGGAGCTAAACTGGCTTTGTGCTAAAGGTTTTAAAGAATTAAAAAAGCAAATCTATGACC